GTGGGTTCCGACAAAGATTTATGTTACTTGATTATTCAGTTGGTTTATATAATTTTATTTTTTATCGTACGTTCCGATAAGGGTTTAGACTATTTGTTTATTTAAGTGCTTTTCCCCATTGGGGCAGCGGTTTGTTTACAGAGTTACAATGCTAAAATCCGGGATTCGATTCTTCCTGGTAGACAGGGTGCAGGTAGCTCATCATGTAGTTTTGCGATGAGAAAACAAATAAAATAAAATTAATTTTTTTAGGTTCCAACAATATTTTTGTTACTTGTTTATTTAACTGTCTTACATTATTTGTGAGTTTTTATAACGGTTTAGGTCACTATATTGTGTAAAATGTTTTATTTTTAGGTTCCGACAAGGATTTAAGAAAGTATTCATGCTCTGCTTTTGCCAACGACGTGAAAATGGTATAAATCTTTACGAACAGCGCCACCAAACGTTCACGCGCTACAGCTGCTCAGAAGCATATACCGACACTCGAGTGACCTTCAACGGCAACATCAATGTTCCTCTGCATACAGTCACAGAGACTTTCAACGGTAGTAGGAAGTCAAGTAGTCCTTTTCTTCTACCAAAATACGGACACAGAGAACAGCGGCTTTCCAACGTTTAAACTGAGACAAAGGGGGAGGAGGAGCGGAGAATTCCAATGTATGTACTACCTGTGGTTAGGGTGGGTAGACAACAGTGCCATCTGTAGTCTCTTCACTGTATTAGTGATGTTTTAGTTGTTTGTATCTGCTCTACGAACAAGTATTATTCTATTTTTTTCTGTATACATGGAACAAACAAACGAAAGGTGGGAATGGATAACTTGAGTAGAGTAAGATCTGCGTGCATGAAACTTAGTAGTTCCACTAGAGGAAACTATGATTACTGAATCATAACTGGACTTTAAAACATGACGGAAAAACTATTTCTAAATTTGACTCGGAAACTTTCATGGCAAAGAGTTATCTTTAACAACATAAAAATTGACAACATGATACTTATTAACACCTGTAACGCATCCAACTGTCAACACCACAGAACAGATGATATTGTTTTACCTTATAACACATGCAACTGTCAACTCGACAAGACATATGATACGTGTTAACACCTGTAACACATCCAACTGTCAACACCACAGAACAGATGATATTGTTTTACCCTATAACACATGCAACTGTCAACGCGACAAGACAGATGATACGTGTTAACACCTGTAACGCATCCAAATGTCAACACCACAGGACAAATGATATTGATAACCTCTGTAACACATCCAACTGTCAACACTACATGACAGATGATACGTGTTAACACCTGTAACACATACAACTGTCAATACCACATGATAAATGATACTTGTTTACACCTGTAACACATTCAACTGTGAACACCACAGGACAGATAATACGTGTTAACACCTATAACCCGTCCAACTGTCAACACCACAGGACACATGATATTGATAACCTCTGTAACACATCCAACCGTCAACACCACAGGACAGATAATAAGTTTTACACCTATAACACATCCAACCGTCAACACCACAGGACAGATAATAAGTTTTACACCTATAACACATCCAACTGTCAACACCACGGGACAAATGACACTTGCTAACAACCTATGTAACACATCCAACTGTCAACACCACAGGACAGATGATAAGTTTTAACACCTATAACACATCCAACTGTCAACACTACGGGACAGATAACACTTGCTAACAACCTCTGTAACACATCCAACTGTTTTTAACACCTATAACACATCCAACTGTCAACACTACGGGACAGATGACACTTGCTTACAACCTATGTAACACACCCAACTGTCAACACCACAAGACCGATAACACGTTTTAACACCTATAACACATCCAACTGTCAACACCACAGGACATATGATAAGTTTTAACACCTACAACACATCCAACTGTCAACACTACGGGACAGATGACACTTGCTAACAACCTCTGTAACACATCCAACTGTCATCACAGTTGATACATATTAACCCATGTAATACAACTAAAGTTAATATAAGGAACTACTTTTTTATCGTTAACTCTGCTATATTAGGATCCTAAAGATACAAATAATCCAACAACTACATAATAGATCATATAAAATCAGAGTATAGAGTTCATAGTTGTGGACACATAATACCATCAGAGTACTGATCACGTAGTTTTCAAAGTATAAACTATTTCTTACAGAAATATTTACATAAAAATCCACGCCTTGTACCCACTAACTTACAGAAACATCGACATAAAGAGGTCCAATTAGAATCAGCGTTCCTAAGTTACAAGATCGTGAATGTAAAAACTTAGAACTCAGTTAAGCCTAATATTCCTTAAGTTATAAGAATGCGGACGCAAAAACTGCCAGTTACAGTTAGGCCTAATGTTCCTTACGTTATAATAACGCGGAAGCAAAAACTGCAAGTTACAGAATGACCCTGTTTTCCCTGAAATCACAGGAACATGGACTTAAAAATTAGGAATTACAGATTGGCCCTGTGTTCCTTAAGTTTCAGGAACGTAGATGTAAGAATTAGGAGCTACAACTAAGCCCTGTGTTCCTTAAATTACAGGAACGTAGACTTAAAAATTAGGAGCTACAACTAAGCCATGTGTTCCTTACGTTTCAAGAAGGTAGACGTAAAAATTAGGAGCTACAGTAAGGCCCTCTGTTTAGAGGCATCGCTAGCTACTTAAAAGATTCGGGGATAAGGCCCATAGGTATTTCAGTATGATATCGATCATGTTTTTTTATTCCGATTGTTCAAGACACCAACTGGGATTCAAGGCACTGTCAAATAAAATCGGGGCACGGACCCTGTATGCCAGCGCCTAGCGACACCTCTGCCTATGTTTCTAAGTTATTGGAAAGTAGGCGTAAAAATTAGGAGTTACGGCTGAACCATACTTTTCTTAAGTTACAGGATTGTGGACGTAAAAACTGTGAGTTACAGAATCGTTGAAGTAAAAACAGTTTGTTTGTTTGTTTGTTTTGAATTTCGCGCAAAGCTACACGAGTGCTATCTGCGCTAGCCGTCTCTAATTTAGCAGTGTAAGACTAGAGGGAAGGCAGCTAGTCATCACCACCCACCGCCAACTTTGGGCTACTCTTTTACCAACGAATAGTGGGATTGACCGTCACAATATAACGCCCCCACGGCTGAAAGGGCGAGCATGATTTGGTGGGATGGGGATGCGAACCCGCGACCCGCAGATTGCGAATCGAGCGTCCTAACCACCTGGCCATGCCGGGCCAGTAAAAACAGTAAGTTACAGCTAGACCATGTATTACCTATAAACTTAGAAGGGAAAGTTGTTAACGGTTCTTTAGAAAATCATAAACGCAATTTCATTGGATACAGTTTTATTTAATTATTTTATTATCTTGACAACTCATGTACTTAACTCCCTCGAAACCTAAACTATGCTGAATGAGAAAGGTTAATAAGCTTTGACAAACTTCACCAATTTTAAAACATTGTTGTAATTTACTTTACAAATAACGAGTACATTAATTAAACAAGACCATAACGTTGTTGATAATTTTAATATGCTATTCTTGACAGTTTTACTACAGACTCAAACAATAAAAATGTTTCTTTCTGTTTTGCCTAAATTTTGTTCATTGTAAGTCACAAGTAATCGTGAAGAAGTTTTCATTAGAATTCTTAATAAGTCTAGTGTAGTCTAAAACAAATATGTTCTGTGTTAATTTACATGATATCTGTCATCTTAGGGATATTTGACGAACTTTTGTCTATTGGTGACGACATTGATTTCACACATAACTAAAACTGTACTTATTTGTCGAAAATTTGTCTATTGATTGTTTGTTTGTTTGTTTGAAGTTAAGAACAAAGCAACACAATGGGCTATATGTGCTCTGCTCACCATGGGTATCGAAACCCGGATTCTAGCGTTGTAAGTCCGCAGACATTCCGCTGTGCCACTGGGGGTTGTCTATTGATGACGACATTGTTTTCACACATAACTAGCATTGTACTTATTTGACGAACTTTTGTCTATTGATGACGACATTGTTTTCACACATAACTGACATTGTACTTCATAATTTTGCGATTTTACACACGTTTGCTGGAACCATGTCTCATTTAATCACGTGTATTTTGATCACCAACAACATTATGCCTGAACTTCTAAATGCACTGTATTATTCCCCAATATAACTCCATTATCAACAGCCAATATGGTATATTTATCTAATTTGACGCAGACACCTTCGTGTGAACTATTCAATGTTATCTAATTTCTAACTCAGGTCACGTAATAACGAAGAGAAAACTTAGGCTCACCTGGAATAGTTTTGCTTCACCTGTAACCTGACCTTTTGAACTATAGTAGCAGAATCTAAGAAAGTGGTTCGATTCTTTCAGAAATGTTTTGGAAGCCTGATCAAAAGCAAGTTTCATCTGGTTAGTGGTGGTAGTTTACAAGAAATACCATCATAACACTTCGTGGAAGTATTTTTCAAATACTCTTAGTTCAAAGTTTTGTTTCCTTTTTTTCTTTATACTTGTATTGTTATCGCTGTTAATTTTCTCAATAAGTCTGTAAAACTTGTGATACATATTGTTATGGTGTTAACGCCTTTTAAACGCTGGCGAAACATGATTATAATTAATTATACTTGTCATAACACGTTAGAATTAGGCTTATTATAAAGACAAAATAAAGAATGTAGTGCTAAAAAATATAATAGGCCTAATTCTAGATTTATGTGTATATATATTGTTTCTTATTAGACTTACAACGTATACGTTAGTAGTGACATTTCAAAAAAAATCGCTTTCTAATATTGTTGGAAAGTTGCTAATTTTTGAGTTTAATAAGAAGTTTTAAGAACTTGTCGAGTTAACTTATATGTTGGTTGTATCTTTCAGTAAATGTAAAACTGTTGGTACAAACTAGAAGTGTATAAGTAAACAGTATATGTGTGTATAGCACGATGTATTTGTATATATGGTTGTTTATTGTGTACATGCAAATTTATATTTAGTTTTGCTTAAGTAACGTTAAGCCTTTTTCTACCTCTTCCATTTTTAAACAAGAAATCCAAAGCGGATTTTTCAGACGTGAGTTAGTGCTAATGAACTTTTTTTTTTTGTCAGTAGTTGATTGACCACCATGTAAATATATATATACATATATGTGCACGTATATTTGTGTGTGTTCAAATTAAATGCTTATAGGATATTATATATATATATATATTACAAAGAAACTTTATGCGAAAGTATATATATTTGTGGATGTGATTTTCTAGTCTTAGCTGTATGTAGATTGCCAGTTCACATGTATCAGTCCACGAGTAAAGCACCGTTAATATTTTGTATGTACATACAGTATAACGTCTGAATTTCATTTGTACAATTTCAATCTTCATGGTTTTTTTAAAGTTCTGCCAAAGTTTTATGCTTGTACTAAATTAGGGACTGGTCAAGAAAGGCCGCGGTTCGAGAGTACAAGAAAGAGTTTAGGAATCAATCATTTTTTGGTAAGGTCACCAAATCCAAGTAGGCTTAAAAAGTTGTACTTAGTCGTAAAACATAATTAATTCAGTCCTGTAATTGTGAGGTATAGAGCAGATATATTAATTACATGTGCATGTTATTCAAGTATACTTGTATAGAAATATATTCGTGTCCCTGCCTCGAACAAAAAAACAAAGATAATTTTGACTAATACTTCATTGTGATTTTTTAAAACGACATATTGAAAATCAGATCTTTAAGTTCAGTAGAGATTTTGGAACAGTAAAAAAATCACAGAATTACTACATGTTGCTATAATAAGGTCCTTTTTCTGCTGGTCACGAGGAAACAATACTAAAAATTGCAAGATAAATATTTGTTATTCTTATACGTATAGTATTTAAGTATTAATTATGGAAGATTTCTACTGTCTATAATTATGAATTTTTTCAATCACATCTGGCCACATCGATCCTTACACCCCTACTTTTGTTATTTGTTGTTAAGCGCAAAGAGAACAGTGGGCTATCTGCGCTGTGTCCAATGCAGAGAGTGAACTCCAAATTTTAGCGTTATAAGTCTTCAAGCTTTCTGCTGGACCATCGGGAGGGAGATAGGGGAAGGGGGGCTCTACTGTAGACTGATTACATCACTCTTGATAATGATATAGATTGCACTGTTCTCATAGCATAAGTAGAAAGGATTAAGGACGACAGTGGTTCGTTGTCTTGATAGAAGATGGATAATGCTTGGTCCATGGGTCTAGATATGAAGGTGAATAATGCGTGGTCCATGGGTCTGAATATGAAGATAAATAATGCGTTGTTCGTGGGTTTAGATATGAAGATGAGTGACGTAGTTTCGTTGGCCTGGAGATGAAGATGGATGCGTTAAGTTAGCTTTTACAGAACATACGCTGTAGATGTTAGAATATTAGGTCGCTGATAATTTTAACCTTTTACACGCACTGTACGTTTACTAAAACATTTTTTTCAACTTCGTTGTATCTTTACATTCAAAGTAATCGAGTTCATTATAAATATATTGGTGTGAGCTTGGCCTAGTCAATAAATCTGATAAAACTTTCCCGGGTTAACATACTGTTACGTATCTGCTTGTTTGATAATTTCCG